CGAAGTCTGGGAAGTACTCTGAACAGTAGTGATGTACACATGTAATGAAAATATACGTGTGCCTGCCACTGGCCACGACTGCAAATCTTTACCCGCAACAACAAACATCGAACCTGGAACTTCTTGTTGCGCAGCAGGAAATTGTATGGCTTTTACTATTGCAACCAGTTGAAGACCAGGATAAAGACAGTTAGAACCACCTGGGGCACGGCCTGAACAGATACTATGAATCAAACTTCATTGAAACGGAGGCTTATCACGAAAGGTAGCTTGAGCTACCTTAGCGCTCCTTGCTTTAGCAAAAATGTATTACAATCAGGATTTGGTGATTTGGTCCTGTAAGAAGGGATTCTGTTCGACGGGGGGGGCCCCCTGGATCAAATCCCCCCTGCGTCGTCGCTGTTTGGGTCACATCCATCCACCTTTGATGCCGTCATGGACTTCTACCAGGGTTACTTGTGATTTCCTGTTACCTTTCGTTCACCCCCTCCTCTCTCAGGTTCTTGAGTGTCATTGCTCAAGGTTGCTTTAAAGGGTGCCGTTCACACAGGATTGTCAGCGTTGCATGTGGTAGGAGTCCCACAAAGAAATGTTTTGTGTTGAGCTGGTTCCAACAACTGAAACTATTGTTGTTGCTGGAGTTGCACATTGCACAGCACGAAGTCTAGTTTATTGTTGCAAGTAGCCGCTGGGTTCAAGATCAGGAGGCTAAGTTTGATTGTGAAAACCCTAATGGAATGTTCTATTATAAAAGGCATTCGTTTTGGATTGGCTTTTGGTAGTCCAGATATATAGCATTGCAGTATGCCAGTCTTGTCAATTTTTTTGGGGAGGAAGCATTGTGCTTTATTGAAGGAAAGTGTTTGTCGAGTCTGCAGTAGGCAGGCGGTACCCTCGGGCGCTCACCCGTTCACCCATGCAATTGACAAGGATATGCTGCCCATACCAAGAAAAGAGCTCGGCTTGACCCGCTTGAGATTGTGCTTACTTAGGGTCGTCTGAGAACAATAGTAGAAAATGTTTCTTGGCAGGTAAGGGTTCTGAACAGCACTTCGTTCAGAGGTGAACTGAAGAATTGCCCTGTGCTTGAACTGGGGCCGTTACAGGAGAGCGCTTGATATTTTGCGTGTTTTCCACCAGGCTCTTGGCCTGGCACTGGATGCAGCCGATTACTTATGTCCGAGATCCTGGGGCTCATTGCAGGAATAATGCTGGTAGTCTGACTGAAGGATCTAGAGTCTAGAGGCAGGTCCAATGATGGACAGGAAGGAGGGAAGAGGCACTTGACAAACTTTGAGGCACTGCTCCTGTACAGTTGGAGCGATGATGCGTACTTTGGCAAGACCTGGAATCTACAGGCTGGTGGGTTTCGAAAAACCTTTGCTCAATTACTTTCAACAACCAAATGCTGAGGATAGAAGATTCAATTCGAAAGGGATTCGGACCCATACTTGGTCATTATGGCACGCAGCTGGTATTTTTAAGTAGGGATATTGTATACTGTGAACAACTCGGTCCTTCTTGAATAGAATACGCCGCATAGGCATATTAAAAGAAAGAAAAGAAACAAGGGCGCAAGCTGTCACCTTCAATGATAGTTTTGCTTTTCAGTTGATGAATTCTCGTAGGCTAATTCCTCCCATCGAGAAGCACCTTGGTGCAAACGCAAGGGAAAACCATGAATTGTTGCTGCCATTTGTGCACTTATGCGTAGTGCAAGTCCTGCCTGGACCCCCATTGATTTGGAGAGAAACACGCTTGCTTGCGAAAACCGAAGCCCCCTGTCTCCGCTTCCTGAGTGACAGGCGGTTTTAGCTGCAGCGGTGCTGTTGAGGGAGGTGCTGGTTGTACGTCGACGGTCCAAAATAATCAAAATCTAAAAGAGAAGAATTCCTTCATGTCCTTCTTCAGGTCAGCGCCATGAGTTCGGTTTCTTTCTGGCATCACGGCATCAATCAGGTGCTTTACTTCATTTGCACTCTATTCGCCTTGGTGCAATGTCTCAAGCTCAGAGTGGACACTGTAACAGTTTACCAAAAATTGGCATCAACGCAACTAGATGATGCGATGTCCATGTCGACTAATTTATTTGCTTGGATGAAAGCCAAGGCCCGGCCTTTCTGTTGATTGATCTTGCTGCTACCTGGAGAAGTGGAGCTCGTGGTGAGGCCGTGCCAGGAGACCCGCTCTCAACCGAATTCCAAGATTTGTTTGCCGCGGAGAGATTTGTCCTGTAGGCTCCAAGGCTTCAACGTCCCCAGACAATGAAATTGTAAACACTAGCAGTAATGAGAAGGTTACAAGACGTTACATAGTGCACAGATGCCATGCTTGGAGACGCTTCTTGTGTTATGGTATTGAATTTGTGGTTATGACATGGGGTGCCCAGCGCGTCGGGCTTTTCCGATCTTGAGCCAAACAAGGTCAAGGGTACACTTTTGATTTGTGCACCTGTCGAAATTCGGAGTGGAATATTTTCGTATCCACACTCCCCCTGACTTCTAGGAAGTCACTTCGCTTCGGGTAGGTTTTTTCTTCTACCCTCCGCGATTCTCATGAAAGCTTCCATCGGACTCACTTGAGTCCTCTCGAACCCTTGAGGTTCCAGAAAAACCGCGTCGCGGCTCCCAAGGGTCTGTCGACCTAGGCCTCACTGGCATCTGCGTGGACACACCCATCCAGGTCGGTGTCTCCTGATCTGGGCCCTCCTCGGGCTGTAGCACAGGATCAGGTCCCCTGTAGATTTCTCGATTCGGGGGTGCCAAATTGCTTCGCACCACCCTCCATCCCCGGGCGGTCATCTCGTCCAAGGTTGGCGGTTCTTCATCCTCACTGCCAAGGTTCTCCTCCAGTCAGGTCTTTCCGCACTGCTCGACTCACTCTCCGCCTGCCGGTTCCTCTCAGGCGTCTCCACATCTACCGTCAGGTCACGCATGAATGCCAGCCAATCATCCCGCACGTCATCATCTAAGGTAGTTCCATCATGTCCTCCAGGTCCTTGTGCCCAATAGGCTGGGTCATAGTCCCACCCTCTATCTATCTCCTCACTCACCAAGGAAAGCTCTTGAGAGTCTCCGGACGTTCCTGAGCCCTCTACTTCACCTCGCAGTTGGTGACCACGAAGCCGCTGCCCATATCCTCCCAGACTGCCATTCACTACCTCGGTCATCCCCGTGCTGAGTTCAGAGACCGAATCCTCTGGCTCTGGTTCATGTCCTGGGCGGTTCATTCGGACATCTTGAGGCAACCCTGCTGCCGACAGACCATGCTCCGCAATGCCCGGCATTGGCGGTGGTCCCGAGGTCAAGGAGCTACTCATTGAGGAAGACGTCCGATCGCCCTGCCCTTTGGTAGTAGATGAACTCGAGGTCGAAGTCAATGTCCCCGCTGTTGGGTCTGGATTTACGTCCCGAAAGAACGTGTACCCAACCCAGGCATCTCTCGCAGGTGGCTGCGTCTCCCTCCTCCAATCATCGTCTCGGATCACCCTTTCTCCATGGCGCCACAGAACAGTAGTTCTCCGATCTTGAATGTGACTGCAATCCATGGGTGTTCGTCGATGAATTGGATGGAAAGGTCTCATCCTCTGCCTCACATTGCTGTCTCACCCACCAGCCACCTGGAAGTCGGTCCCACCGGTCTTGACCCCTCGAAGGCATGGAAAACCTCCTCCACGTCCAGGGCCGGTCATAGTCCACCGCCGGTGCAGCTCCCGACGTCGTTGATGGCTCACCTCCCAACTCTACCGCAGATCCTCTTCCCAGGGCCGCCAATCGTGCCCTCTTGGTGTTGCCGCCATGGCGCAATTCGGGCGCGTAATCCCGGGAGCCCTCAGGGCTAGGTTCAGTAATGGGTTCTTCCTCTGACCCAACATTCCTACTGCAGGTGGGTTCATCTTCCCTCACCTGATCTTGAAGTCCATACGGTGGATCTACATACTCATTTCTTGTCGGCCCAGTGGCTCTCTTTGTAGAATCACAGCCGGCTTTCCAGCTGGTGGCCAAACTAGCTACCATTGCCGCTGAGCAGCCTTGCCCGTGTGACCTGACGGCCGCCAAGTCAACACGCCCGCTAGCCCGCCTACCAGTGCTGCGATCCTGGCCACTTTGGACCTTAAGCTATCAGTCGAAGCCTCCACCACCAATTTCATTCCCATCGCCGCAAAGAAATGCTGCCATCTGGCCGCCACTCCAATCGGCTTCGTCAGGAAATCGGCCACCAGATGTTGACCTGGAACGTGGGTCACCTTCCAAGCACCCCACTTGACCCAGAAGGGGATGAATCGGGTTGGAGGGCTTGGGAGTGTCTCAGTGAGCTCGCAATGGTGTGCTGCGGAGACTGTGGCCTTCTTCAGCCGAGACATCCACATCAAGTACCAGCAGAGAACCCTAGAGATCTTCGTGGATGTGGGGTAGTGATGGGTTCTGTGCAAGCAGTTGTGGAAGGCACGCTGGACTTGGTGGCTTCTGTGGTGGCACTCTGGAGTATGTGGACGACTATCGGGACCGACGAACTGGCGGGATATGGAAGGGCTCCAATTGCTCTTGGGACCAGGCTGAAGAGTGGCACGCCATGGAGGTGAGGTCTCATTTGTTGATGAAGAGATTATGGAGTGAAGAGTTGCGCCACCAGGGCATTGGAGAAGAGCAAGGCCGTCAGAGAGGACGATGGATGGCTGCTTTGGAAGCTGGACTGTTGGTGCAGGAGGATCATTTGGAGGATCAACATCGTAAGCTGGAGTTGGTGAGGCTTGCCGCAGTGAAAAATGAAGCGGGCTTGGAGATCCAAGATCCAGGAGCCCCTCCACCAGCGGTGTTGCAGACTTATGCAGTTCCTCTTCAACGGGTCAGACAGGAGTTAGCAGCGTGGGTGCCTCCTATGACGGACGAGTACCAGTCATTGATTGAAGGAACTCGGGCCTTGAGTCCGACGACCATGGAGGAGTTGGAGAAGGATCCCTTGTTTGAGGCGATGGAGGTCGCGCCGGGGATGTTGGTTCCTACAATCAAGGCTCCTCATGGGAAGAAACGAGCTCGCATCGTGGTCTGTGGCAATCGTCTTGAAGCTCTGGATGGCAGTGGTACAGCAACCCAGGGCAAGGAGGAGTCCCAGAACTTGTATGCTGGCGGAGCAGATGGAACAACGATCAGATGTCTTCTCACGAAGGCGGCGGCGATGAGCTGGGAGATTGCGACTTGCGATGTCAAGACGGCCTTTTTGCTGGCGCCCAGGGAGGACTCTGGACGACGACTGGTGGTGGTGAAAACCACCACGCATCTTGGTGGAAGCAGGCATCGTTGGACCTCGTGAACTGTGGCGAGTTCAGCATGCACTATATGGACTTCGATCCTCGCCGGCGGATTGGGCGACCTACCGGAACCGGTTGATGAGATCCTTCCAGTGGCAACAGGAGGGGATGACCCTGGAGCTCCGGGAGACTCCGGAACCCAACCTATGGAAGATAGTTGAGAGAAGACCACTGGATCAGGAGGAGCCGCCTCCGAAGGGATTCATCGCCGTCTACGTGGATGACTTCATCGTCGTTGGCGCCAAGGACACTGTGAAAGGGGCCTTGAGCGGGATCGAGATGGAGTGGAAGTGCAGCCCAGCGGAGTGGGTCAGCAGCGAAAGATGGACGAAGTTCAGTGGATTTGAGCTGAGATGGAGTTCCGCAGATGAGGACAGTGGGCTCTATGTGGGGCAACAGGCCTACATCCAAGAGCTCCTTAGTAGACATCCTTCAGTGACCCCTGCTACAGTGCCCTTTCCCGCTCCGTCTCCTCGACTTCTTCCTCTTCATCAACAAACTCCAAACCACCTCCACTGAAGTCCCTTTCCAGCTCCTGCATGTAGTCCCTCAACGGACCCGTAACCTCCAACTCCACACCTTCGGCTTCTCCTTCACGATCTCCCCCCACCATTGGCTCCATGGGTTGATCAACGGACTCCCCCAGGTCGCTCACATTCTCCCCAGGTTGCCACACCGAAAGCGAATCCAACGGAGTAGGTGTTGAATTTCCCAAACTTGGATCACTCGCTGGATCCGTGGTCATGGTCTCCCCCCCAGCTCGTAGGACACGAAGAGCTGGCTGGCCGACCTCGACTCCTGCATCAAAATGCTGAGACACTACATCTTTCAGCGGATGTGGGTCCATGGACTGCTTCCCTGTCAGCCGATGTCTGATGCCCTTATCCTTGAGGTCCACCTCATGCAACTCCAACATGGCTTCAAGGGTTTTCGATGGAGTCACCACCGTCCGAAGATGCTGGATTCTATTCTGCTTGTCCTTGGCCACCCAACCTGACGACATCAATGGGCTTGGGCCCAACACCTGTACCCTCTTGAATGGGTTAGTCAACTCTCCAGTTTTGTGATGCCATCTTTTGGACTTGGCCATGACCATCGATCCAAAGTTGACCATTGGCTTCGATCCCACTCCCAGCCTTTGAAGTTGTAGGCGAAGTCGTTGAGTGGCAGCATGCCTCAATGCACATGGCCATAGCGAAGCCTCCACCTTGCTGGTGTGTAGAAGGAGCCTCATCCTTCGTTTGAGCTGCAACAGCTCTGCCTCTACTCTGCCATTTGATTGGCTATCATCACCCGAAGTCATCGTGTGGACCATCTCCCGGGCCTGAACCCACCTGGCCACCGCCTTCGTGAGGAAGGACTTCTCCCTGTCCGAGTGCAGCCGACATGGCCGCACTCCCAACATCCTGCAGTGAGCATGGACCTTGGAGAGCGCCTGCACGATGTCCTCCACCGCTTGAGATTGCATCGGCTCTGCAATCGTGAGGTTCTGAAGAGGAACCTCTTCCTGAGCTCGCTCCAGCGCAGCTTTCATGTTCAGCTCAGCCACTTGCTCCTCTGTCGCCAATTCCACTTCTTCCTTCTCCTCCTCGATCTCCACCGCATTCTTGACCTCCGCCTCATGGTCCAGTGGTTCCTCTGGTGCCCCAGCTAGATCCTTCACGATCGGCGCCGGGATTGTCGCCACCATCACATACTTGCACCACTGGTTCAACCCAAGGTCTCGCCCCTGCTCAAACGGACCCATGATGTCCACCGCCATCACAAAGGCAGACGAGGCGTTTTTAGAGCGTCGATGTGGGCTGGAGAACCCCATCGCTTCCACACAATCCCGACAATCTCTCCTGTAGGGAACGTGCTGTTGCTTGATGTGCCTCTTTCATTCCTCAACATCCATCTTGGCCAATCCCATGTGGGCCCTCTCGGTTTGGTTCAAGGCCAACCCAATGGCCTTCACCAGACCACTGGACCATCGTGCCCACGACCGAGATGCCCTCATTCTCTCCTGTAGCCCTCCCTCCACCGGGTCCGCCGATCCTCCTCCCCTGAGTCCATCCAGGTCCTCCAGGTGACGAAGGTTGGTCAGCAAACTCGTGGGCTTTCGCCTGGGATGCCCCGTTCTTCCTTGGTCGAAGTTCACCAAGCTCATTCCATACTCTTCCACCATTCCCCTCAACAATGGCCATTCAAAGAAAGATGGATGATCATGCCCTGCTTCAGCTCCATCTCCTACATAGCTAGCGGGATTCTAGGAGAAAGGCCACCGGACCGGGTCAGGTCCTTCACGGTGCTCCTCCGCCAGATGCCATAGCCCCACCTGCTTCACCACCAGTGCGGAATCCCCCGGTTAGCCCCTCCAATCCCCAGCGATCGGAACCACGGCCTCTCACCCTCCTTGGTCCCGGGGGCCCCTTGCACCTCAATCTGCTCGTGGTGCGGCAGGGCGGACCTCCAACAATTCCCTTCACCTTCCCGGATCGAGCCAGCAGGCACATATAGCTCCACACATTGGCATTGTGCACGTTGAAGCCATCCCCCAGCTCCAAGTCCAGGAAAATCCAATCCATGTCGTCTGGCAAAGTGCCTTTCCACCTCCCTGTATCAGCTCCAGAGAAAAGGTGAATCACCAAGCCTCGACTTCGTTGATGTCGACGTCTCTGACGTCTATTCCAAGGCAGCAACTCAGGGTTCGGCTCACTTGAAAACCCAACCATCATCTCCAGCACGTCCTCCGGTACGTCCGGCATGAGGCTGCGCCACCAATTCCAGTCCCCTTGGGACATCTTCTTCCGATTCTTCTGGTTCTCCTCGAACTCTGCCAACATCACCATGGCATCCTGTTGATTCATGACGGGGCACCCCGACCTCAACCAACACTTCACAGCTCCCAGCTGCTGGTGCATGATCGTGCAACCCTGTCCAGTCCAATGAATGGCATACCCATTCTCCACCAGCAGACTCAACGGCAGGATCGGCTCCACGGGCTCCAACGACAAGAGAGTATCGAAGTCCGGATGTCTGTACAAGGTTGTGCAACCATGGGCCAATTCCACCGTGACCGGCTGCAGCTTCCCTCGTTCTTCTTGTCGTGCCATCCTCAATGGGTGGGTAGCTCCACCATCTAGTAGTGCAAGCTCCTGGCCCTCAGTACCATCCACCACGTTGATCTGCTTCAATCTGAAAGTTTTCAAGCTTCGGAGAGACTTCAGAAGGGATGTAGCCTCGGTGATCAGCTCCGACGCCGGGTCACCTTTCTTTTCTGGCTGAGCTCCAGCCTCCCTTCCTTTTTCTCCACCATTTGACGTCGGCCTGGTAGACGTGGACATAGAGCTCGCCGATGAAGTAGTGCCTGGTTTTCCTTGATCAGACTCATCCTTCTCCACCGTCGACTTTCCACTCCCCTTCAACTTGGCCGTCTTCTTTCCATCCTTCCCAGGCCGCTCCCGACCATATGGGCAATCCTTTGCAAAGTGGTTTTCCCCGGAGCAGTGGAAACATCTGTCTGATTTGTTGACGCCCTCCCAGGAGTGGGCGAATGTGCAGGACTCCCCCCGCTTACACCCAGCCGTAGTTCCCCAGTATCTGCAAGCCTGTTTCGATTTTGATTGTCCGTCTCCACCGCCTACTCCACCACCCAAGGCCTTGATCGTCGGCTGAGCTCCCGCTACCGGTTGAAGGACTGCCCCCGAACTGGTAGTCTTGGCCGACGATGGATGCGGCAAAGTCAAAGCCAGATCCTCCGCCTCTGCTTGAAGGAACTCTGCAAACTCCTTGGTGGTGGTCAACGTAGGTCTCCGGTCAACCTCAAGTTCCTGCCGAGCCGCTGCAATTCTGAATCCCACTTGGCTTCCTCCATGTTTCGTGAGGTTCTCCGCCACCTTGGACAAGGCCTGAACCAAGACCATCGAGTCCGGGATCGCCACATGCAGTTCTTCCGCTCGACAAATCCACCTGCGCCACGTTCGAATAGCGCCCAACGTATCTTGGATAGAGCTGCCGCACTTCACCTCCGTCAGGCTGCGCAACAAATTGCCCCTCTCCGCATTTCCACCAGGTTGATAGATGGTGAAGAGCTTGTACAAGATCGCCTGAGTAGCCACCCTTCGACTTGCAACGATGTCCTTCCTCACCGGTTCCAAAGTTGAACTTGCCCGCTGATCCAGTCGCTGAAACCGTGGGGACACCTGCTCCTCCACCTTAATTCTCGACCGTCCCAATGGTGTTGCCAAAAGCCATTCATTGTACTTCACCTCCACCTCTCGTTGCACCCAATCCCAAAACTCCTTGGATGACGTACTGAGGTCTCCCATCAGCGGAGTGATCACCGTCAGCCAGTCCCCAACAAGCAAAGCTGCATTCTCAGTTGAAGGTGATGGCAACTGTGGCAACTCCAAATTCCGCATTGCCTCAGGTAGGGCCGCTGTCACCGATTCCACCGGCTTCATCACATTCGCCGCCCCACTCAATCCACTTCCATGACCTCGAAGATCGTGCACTGGAGCAAGACCAGGAGGAGTGTCAGGTGCTCCACCAGGCTTGGCATTCTCTCCCATCGGCTCTTGAGGTCCTTCGGCCTTCGCACTCGGCACCGACGTAAACGATGCTGAATCTCCAGCGTCCGTCATCTTCTTCACCTCCCGAGCAAAGGTCTCCTCGGCCTCCCTCAAGATGCGTTCTCGAAGACGTTCAACTTGTCCCAGGCCTGGACTCGGCGCAGGATGTTGGCTTCTCGCCACCTCGGACTCACGAACGTGTGACTCACCCTTGGCCGCTTGCTGCACCGAAGCACTCCAAAAAGGATTCACCGTCCCCAAGGGTCCCACCGGCGTGGTAGGATAGGGCTCCAGCACCCGAGGGTGTAGATCATCACGTCCTGCTCCAGCCATGTAGGGTGATGTCCCCATGCGCTCCATCTCCACCCCGCTCTGCCGCAAGGGAGTACCAGCTGCCAGCCCGTGCCCTGGGAGAACTCCACATCCGGTACCGGCATGACCTCCTGATCACCGGGCCGAAGAAGAGGATCAAGTAGGGTAGGTTGGGAACTTGGCCTTTGAAGAGCATGTTGCAACACTTCAAATGACTGCCGAACTGCCTCCTGCAAATGCCCAAGTCCCATCACCTGGCCTCTTGGGTCATTCAACAGCTGTCGAACTTCCGGTGGTCCTTGGTGGCCACTCGATGCCGTCGCGGCCGACTGACCTCCATGGCCACCGCCCACGCCAGCAGCCACCCCCAGCCGCTTCACCTCAGCCGCTGCCACCGGCTGATTGCGCCCTTGCCGCCTTCGCCTTCATCTCCTCCTCGATCAAGGCGTCCAGCCGGCGATCCGCAGCACCAACCTCCAGCGGCGCTTCTGCCTCCTTACGCTCGCGCGACCGCTGCTGCCTCCGTCTGCGCTGCTCCATGGGGACCAGCACTCTTCCGCCCACGAAGCGGCAAGAGGTGGACTTGGAAAAAGAAAAAATCACCTTGGGCTCATAACCTGTGGTTATGACATGGGGTGCCCAGCGCGTCGGGCTTTTCCGATCTTGAGCCAAACAAGGTCAAGGGTACACTTTTGATTTGTGCACCTGTCGAAATTCGGAGTGGAATATTTTCGTATCCACAGAATTAACGGCGCACTGTGCATTCATGTTGTTTCTTCGAGGGCCGGATGGTGTCCTTAGAAAGTCGTAGAATCACACGTATGTGCGTGGTTCGTTGCCGGACCGGAGGCCTTTGCCTGTGTCATGATGCCGGAGAAATTTTTAGGCTGGAAGGGCATAAAGATTCTTTCCTCACTACCAGGAGGCATCCAGGGACTCAAACATACACTTCACTTGGTTTACTTACGGTCTAGGGCCCAAAAGGACATCAATAAAGCTTGTGCTGCCACAAGCCTAATTACATCCTGTTTCGCATCGGTTGTGGGAATTGATTCGTTTTGATGGGAGGTGCATCATTCGCATTTGAGCGTTTGAGCATGTCTCGTTTAGTTTACTTGAGCCAGCTCACGAACTCAAAAGCCACACCCGTTCGCCTCAACAAGGCTGGTACATGCAAGGCTCTGTGCCATCTCCACTAGCCGTCAGGCATCGCCCCGCTCGGACCGTCAGAGAAGACATACACGGTGGATCACTGTGGGTGGCAACCTGTCTTTGCCTGACAATTGCTCGCCATGCACTTTGCTGGCAAAGCTCGCACCAAGCATGACCAAGCTGCAAGCAGGTAGAGTACAAAATGCTTGTATGTTTAAGCGAACCATGCCTTGAAAGCACATGTGTTGTTTCATATTTGTTTTGGAATTCACTGATTTTGACGATCTGGCAGCATTGTAGGAGCAAAGCCACTTTTGCAGGAAATGTTGCTGTCCTGCATCAGTATGGTCCTCATTCAGTTAATGTCATATCGGGTGCTTTTTCTTTGAGATGCTGGTGGCTGTGGGCGCCAGGCGATTCAATAGCTATTGCGCCGTGGTCCTGCTTTTGGATGGCTGTAGCGTTTTGGCGCTTTGGGCTGGTCTTTCAGGCTGCTCCGAAGCTCGGGCCGTCGGTTGTGCCACTGCTCCGATGCTCAAACGGCAGTTGGCTTGTTTGGCATTCGTCACGGCACGCCAAAACTCTTTGTCGAATCGGAGTTGGGCAGGAAGTTGATGTGGGTGGCCCATCGAACATGTTGGAACGCTGGTAACCTTGGTGTGCGTGGGAGCAGCGGTGAACTGTGCAGCGAGGCTGGACAAGCAGGCCCCCTGTACCACTCCTTGTGTGCTACTCGGTGACGACACTCAGAAACTCTGGCATGTCTATTCCTGTTGTGAAATCATGAACGCCGAGTTGGTTTGGTCTGCTCTTCTTGGCCACTGAAGTCGTGTCAAGACTAGGGCCACTGAGTTGTGAAATGTTTTGAAGGCCCAACCAGCACGCTCACAAGCTTTGCTTATGTCCAAAAGATGGCGGCCATCCTAAGATCGCAAGGTTCATCAACCCCCAGACTGTGGTTCAGTGGCATTGGCCTCAACAGCCAGGTTTTATTGCAATTCCCTGCTGGGCTACCAGCATACTCTTAGCCAGGGCCACAGGCGGGCAGTGTTTCGGCAGTCTAGGAATTAAAGCTTGGGGCATTTTGTGCTGATCGTTCGATCCATCATCAGCTTGCTGGCAACTTTCACCACAAAGCCTCATGCCCTTTTGGACGCCAGTTTGGGACAGGGCCACGCAGGAAGTGCTTTCAATGTATGGAAATGGAGTCTTGTCATCCATGGATGCTCATGTTTTCCAGGTGTTCTTCCACCTGTGGGAAACTTGGCAAGCAACGCAAATGAGAATGAGCACCTGCCACTTGTTTCAGAGTCAACATTGCTTACAGCTGCCCATGGAAAGCAATTCACGTGTTTACTGTGATGAGAATGTTTGAGCAGCACCACAAGCGCAAACAAAAGCAAATTGGTGGAATTGATATTTGCAATAATGACAAATGTTCAATGTACCAGGAAACCTTCTCATTTGTCAAAGTTTGTGCAACTCAGGACACAGAAATGATTCTGATTCTTTGGATATACCTCTTGGATCGGTTGATTAAAAACTAAACTAGACGACGGTTGGCCCGAGAGCGAGACATGTAATTGTCCAGCACTGTCGAAAAGATGTATAGAAAGAGAGAAAGAGAGAAAGAGAGGGTGGATGTGAAGGAGTGACAGTGTGGATGTGCAGGTGCGATATAGATCTGTAGATGTATGGAGGTGGAGAGGTAGATCTGTGGATGTGAGCGTGCGAAGATGTAAATGCACAGAGACGAGAGAAAAGATATGTAGAAAGAAAGAAAGACAGGACAGATGTGAAGGAGCGACAGTGTGGATGTACAGATGTGATTTAGATGTGCAGATGTGTGGGTGTGGTGAGGTGGAGAGGTAGGTCTGCGGATGTGAGCGTGTGAAGATGTAAATGTAGAGAGGTGAGGGGGTGTAGATGTAGATGCGTCGATGCAACGGCAGCGCAAAGTCAACCTTAGTTGTGCAAGTACAACGCTGAAGAGGTTCAAATAGAACTGAAGAACGTACATTTCACACTGAAGTTTCCACGAACAGGGCGACCTGAGAGTAAACGACGTCACGATCATGACAAGCAACTCGTGTATTCCAAGCGAACATCGTTTGTCATGAAGGTGAAGTACACACATACTAACGTCACGATGACTCTTTTGTGGCAGCCACTTATGAGTAAGCAAAGTAGCTAAAATTTGTCAACCTCTCAAGAGAGCCAGGTGGTCGGGAGACATGACTCAGCTGCAGGGGCGCCAGAGCAGCCGCGAGAGATGACTCATCCGCGCACTATAGTTGTACTACAAAGTCGCCAGTTCTCAGCTCCCAGCTCCACAGCTTGCTCCGCGGACTAAAGTTGTACTACAAAGTCGCCAGTTCTCATCTTCCAGCTCCCCAGATACTCCGCGTAATAAAGTTGTACTAGAAAGTCGCCAGTTCTCATCTTCCAGCTCTCCAGATACTCCGCGTACTATAGTTGTACTACAAAGTCGCCAGTTCTCAGCTTCCAGCTCCACAGATTGCTCCGCGTACTAAAGTTGTACTACAAAGTCGCCAGTTCTCATCTTCCAGCTCCCCAGATACTCCGCGTACTAAAGTTGTACTACAACTTCGCCAGTTCACATCTTCCAGCTCCCCAGATACTCCGCGTACTAAAGTTGTACTACAAAGTCGCCAGTTCTCAGCTTCCAGCTCCACAGATTGCTCCGCGTACTAGAGTTGCACTACAAAGTCGCCAGTTCTCATCTTCCAGCTCCACAGATACTCCGCGTACTAAAGTTGTACTAGAAAGTCGCCAGTTCTCA